TTAAAAATTACTCCCATCTCTGGCTGGGCTACGAGGAGACGTGTTATCTTGCTTCTCATCTACAGTGTGTCTAGTATTCAGTCTTTAAAATCTTCCACTCAAACACAGTGTTTCAGTAGTGTTGAAGGAGACAGGACTAGCCCTAAATATTGAAGAGATCAGTGGAAATAATAGACATGTGGAGATAGGAAATGTGAAAAGTCAAGTCGGAAAAAGGAAGAGAGATAAAACTCCTGAAGGGCAGAATAGCAAGTGGAATGGGGAGTCAAGGAAGGAGGAGCTGGACTTTAAGAGAAAGAGCAGAAGACTAATAAGCAAAAAAAAAAAAAAAGGCAACAAAGATGACAGAGGATGTTGATAAGGAATGATAATATTAAGTGAAGGAGGATGTGAAGTTGAGAAGTTACCTAAAAGGTAAAGTAGGATCTAAGCTTACAGGTAACATTTGAAATAATAATATACATGGGAGGAAAAAGCACAGCAGTGCTCCTTCATCCTGCCATGGGAATAGCAAAAGGAATTAGAAGAGCAGATATTGTATCAATTTTCATCTTCCTTCCAGCTGAAGTTGTAGTAGTAGAAGCAAGGCAAAAGTAACTCATGCTGGTTATGGACAGTGATATGCTTTCTGTGTCTGTTGTGATTTGTCTGCTCGCGGGCGTTCCCCAGGACGTTTGTCACGAGGCTCTGCTGAGTCCCTGTCCCCAGGGATTAACAGAAGGAGAAAAGGAAACATTAGAGAAACCTTAAAATTGTGTAGATATGAGGATCTTTGGGGGGGAAGAACAAAATTCATTTCCTATATTTCTACACAAGAAGGGGTCCAGAACTCTACAATGTGAAATTTCCGTAAGTTACTGAAATCTGCATATTTCTATGCAAACTTCCTGTGTGAGTAATTGTAAAACTCCAGGCTGCAATGCATTTAACTATATAAGATACTGCAAATCACTAAGAAGCTAGATTTTATTTGTGAAAACTGCGTAAAATACTGCGTTTATCCTTTATTTCATACATATGAAACTTGGAAAATATTTTTCCTGAGAAGGTATTGCTTTTCATTTGAATTAGAAAATTCACCATTTTGCATTTATAAATGTCTCCATTTTTGATTAAATCCTTGAGACCATACTGAGACAAAGGAAAGAATGCTATGAGTTTGTATTCTTACTTGTTCATTATTAAGAGGAGTTGAAACTAAAAGAATGAAGTGAATTCAACTGTCTTATAACTGTTTTTTCCTATCTAACCTGGGTTAGTTGATACTGCAAGTACATTTTTACATAAGACCTGTCTGGGCACTTCTTTTTACAGACACGGTTATGGTGGCTGGGAATGAATTTGCTAAGCTTTCAGATATCTTATGTGCCTCTGAGGACTGCCCATTAATAATATTAATATATAGGTATTTCCCATTGTTGTATGCAAGGCATTTCTTAGAACTTTGAAGCTAAAGTGTGGGGGTTTTTTAACACACGGGCCTTTTCAATTTAATCCATTAGCAACTTGGCAAAATAAAGTAATTGTCCAACAGAGGAAGAAAAAATCTATTAACATTTGCTACAAATCCGAGTAGTACAGGCAGCACTTAATTAATGGAACAGATTTCTCACTATGTATTCAAGCTAACGTAGCTATTGTTCAGGAGAGATTAGACCCTTAATGTAAGTAAGTTAAACTAGACCTCCATCTAAAAATATCCGTCATTTCAGCTATTAAAGGTCTGATGTCTTCTTTGGTGACAGATATATTTCCCTTCATTTCCTTGGTTTTGTAAAATGTAAAGTATGCATTGTGTGTAACGCGAGAAATCCGCGGAGGTAGATGAAACCCGATTGTGCCTCCCCGCCTGTCTCTCCCTGCCCGCTCCTTTGTGCTGCTCCCTATCGCAGAGCTCTTCAGCCCTTAGACCTCCTGGCACCAGAGCAGAAAAACAGAAAATGCCATTTGTTAGGGTACGATGCCAGCCAACTAATCTGTTTGCAGAACGAGGGCCATGGGATCTGATTAGGTAATTCAGATACCTTGTGAATTTAATAATACCTGAGCTGCCTTTGGCTGTCAGCCCGTCCTTTCACTGGTAGGAACTACTGAGTTCTTCCCCTTCTTCTGTAAACTTCTTGCTCACGGTACTGTATTTGAATCCAGACAGGTGTTAAGGGCTGCAGGTGAGGTCTGTCTGTGCTCCTCCATATGTGGAAGTTAGCGATAGGGCAGAGGAGGTGAGATTGCTCAGTTTTAAATGCATTTTCCCCAGTATGGTTCCATGTGCAGTGTATCCTTTTTTGTTTGAAAAGTTTCATTTTCAAGAATGAGATTCTTTGTTTAAACACCTGAGATGTCCCAGGTTCCAGATTTGCTGGGCAGTCCAAGTGCTGACCGTCATCACCGGCAGGTTTTGAAGCTGGGTTTATTCAAAGCGGTTGGTATTTCATCCTTGGGGCTGGCAGTGCCCCCCTTGCTGCTGCAGCCGCGCGTTGCTCCGGGGCGAGAGGCTGCCCTGCCCGGGGGCCCAGCGGATGCGGACAAGGCTTTGTGCTACCAGTGAGGTACCTCCAGATACCCACACAGGAAAATTTTGGCTGGAGTTTTAATGCCACATCTCCTCCCTTCCTCTCTCCTTTCCGCCAGTTAGCATTTTTTGGAAAGTGGTGTCTCACAAAGCCTACTAATGTAAATAGAAGTGTTTTAAGATTTGTTTGCTTTAATTAATTTAGAGCATGTCTTTCTGAGAGGACTTAGTTAAGCATCTTTCTTAAACAGTAATGTGCCAGTAACAGCAACATTAGTAATAGTGATAAGACCTAGAAAGGGAAACCAACTAGAAAGCAATATGAAGTGTTTCTTTGTCCGAAAAATAAATGGTCTTCCCAGGAAAGTGGAGGAAACCCCGTTCAGGGACACTTACAATTAGGTTGGTCAAAACAGCAGAAAACATACAACGCGAAATAAATCCTGCAAAGGTAGAGGCAGGACTGACAACATGAGATCACTCTTTTTGCTGTTTTTATTTTGTTTTCCTCTTTTTTGACAGTTGCTTTTTTTTTTTTCCTTAGCAGCACCCAAGATGTTCTTGGAGCTTTGCAAATAGGAAATAACTTGCTTTTCATGTAATGATAAATTATTTTTTTTGTAATGAGGATGGAGTTGATTGTAAGGCTAATGATAGTAAGGGGATTTATATGAAAGCATCCAATTAAAAAAATCAAAACAGCTGCATCAAACATAACTATATGCTGTAATAAAACCATATAATAACTATATGGTAACTATACACCATAGTATCTAGTTCGATTAATTGAACCTTACATGTGCAAAGATAGTCATTATCAGACTTCTCACCCATCAAGAAAAAAAGTCTCAATTATTTTCACAGTGAAATAATCATTACTACTTTTTTTTTTTTGTATTCTGCCATCTGAAAAGAAAAAAACGGCTGCTGCCGTGACTGTGAAATACAAGATCTTGCAGAACTACGCAAAGTTGATTCTGCTTGCTGCTGGACTTCTGCAGCCTTAGTGTAAATTGTAGTTTGTGTAGTTATATACATAACGTGTTGCTTCTCTCTTCTCTTGTCCTCTTGCACTTTTTGAAGAAAGCAAAACCCCTCTATCTCCAAAAGCCTCCTCGTTGCCACGCTGTGGGGCGTTGGGGCTGGTTTACAACCTACAGCAAATTGGAAATGGCAAATTGGCAGTTTCCTGGGTTTGCTTCAACACTTCTTCGTTCCCTCCCTTTCCTCTGCCCGGCGGTGGGGATGCTGCCTGGAACAATTTGCTCCCTGATACAGCAAGATGAGAAGGTGGGCTCCGGTGCTGTGTCCCCCCGCAATCAGCTGTAAGTGCCTCTGGGTGCGTCTGTGCCGGAGCAAATCACCTGTGGCTGTAGACCTCCTGTCTCCAGTAAATCATAAGCATCTCGATCTTTTTGTCAGTCTGTGATATGAGAATCCGCATCTGAATTTCAATATGAGGGGAGAGAAGCTGATTAAGTGTTTGAGATAAGGTTATGTGACACCACAGGTTAAAAATACCTGAACTGAATTTGGCCAAATGCCTGAGAACCACATTGCAGCCCGTTCGGGTGGCGCTGAATTGGCTCCCAAGGAGTTTGCTGTCTTCTGCTTTAAGAAAGCAATTCTTCGGGAGCGCTCTTCTAGGAGCCGCATCTCTCTCGTTTTACAACATTTCTTTGGGCTTTGCTATCTTGCATTTCTTATCTAAAATGTCACCAATGTGTCAAGTTAAAAGAAAATATAAAAGTGTAATAAACCCTAGTCATTTAGGAAGAAAAGGACAAATGTTTTTGTTTGGCGCAAATGTCTGGAGAAAGACTTAAGTTAGATTCCCCAGAATCCTACTCAGGTTAATTCTAGTCTGCATGGAAGTGACAATTGTAACCCTTAACAAATACTGTGGTTTAGCCAAAAAACCAACCAAACAAATAGGAAACTGTATCATTTGGTAATGATACACTAAGCAGCCTGCTTTTGGCAGGTCTGGGAAATAGACTAAAGACATTCAAGAAGCTTCTGACTCTATGTACTTCTAGTATTTTACTGGCTGTTAGTTTTCATTTGTGACTTATATTTTTATAAATATTCATTCTTACTGATGAGAAGAAACTTTAGAAGATGTGTGTAAATAATAGGAAAGTTCTGCTGAATAAGGCCTGGACCAGGCAGGTTGGTCTGGCTTGTTGAAATTTTTATCTGTATTTAATACTTTAAAAGCTGTAGAAGGATACAGCCAGGATACTGCACTGGATTTGGGATATCACTTTTGTGAACTGTGTTTGAAGGCTTCTCCTATTCTTCATGTGAGTTACCGTATTGCAGAAGTGCGATGCAGAAATGCGACTTTCCTAATGCATGTGACTTACTTTCTTCTTTTTTTTTGGTGGATTTCAGAAGTAAACTTGCCTGTTCATTTTTTTGAGCTATACTGAAATGTGATGTTGAAGCGTGTTTGTCATACATGTTCTTGGTTTTTTTTTTACAGATGGGCTGAAGCCAGATACCAAGATGCTTCTTACTGTTGCCTCCAAGAAGAAATCTAAGGCAGGGAAGGGGGATACAACCAAAGAGGATGAAAGCAGCAAGAATGATTCTGCCCAACCTGTTACAATCTCTCTTCTCTTTAAAAGATACGTCTTTGACACACAGAAGAAAATGATTCAATCCTGAGAAAGCAAGAGAGGCCTCTGATTGCACCTGAAAAGACCAGACTCTGAAATGAATTCAGGTGGAACCTGTTTCTTGTCTGAATGCATTAGACCTGTTCCTTCCTCACAGACAGAGCCTGGATGTGCCTGCTGACTATGTGCACCCTTCCAAAATCTCTGCCACCTGGCTTGTTCTGTTAGAATCTGCTTATTTTGTCATCTTCATAATGTGAATCTCTACAGCCTCTCAGAGAATGTCACCTGCTGGAAGGGCATGTTCGGGTGTGCGTTCTCATTGCAGTGTTTTTCTGGAGAATTGTTTTGTATTTTCCGTTGATTGAAAAGTTTGCCACCATCATTAATCTAAATCTAGTCAAGATGTGAATTTAATGTGACCCACATAGTTAAGCTGATTAGTCTAGTTTGACTTCCCCAAGCAAAGTGGGGGACAGAAAGCGCACGATATAATAGGTAAAACCTAAAATGGATGTTTCACATTCCTTCAGCTGCAGCTATGTAAGATGCTATCTGAGAGATGGTATGGATCTTTTTTAGAAATATGATTTATATCTAGAAATGTTTTTCATATTAAACATAATGATGCGTGTAACCCAGAGTCTTAATTGTTCTGTTTGCTGTTCCAAAGGTTCAGAACCTATCTTCAGTGACATTTTGTATAGCTTTTCTGAATTTCCTGCCTGTTCTGCAGTGAATCCCACTCCAGAATTGTTTTCTTTTTTTGTAACCGAAATGTCTTTTGTGTGTGAAAGAAAAAGTTGCCTCTGGAAATAGTCAAGGACTTTCTTTCATTAAAATAATGATAGAAGATTGCAGCATAAGCCTTGTAAAATGAGTATCTCCAAGATGCTTTAGAAACCATTAGTTGTTTAATAGGGATGTCATGGCTGCTTTAGTTCTTCCTCTCAATTTCATGTCCTAGGCTGATAAAAAGGAGAGTACTGGTAATATCCCTTTTTTATTTACAAAGCATAGGACACCTTAACATGAAGACTAGCAATAATTCCACAGGTATGAAAGCTGCAGTCTGGAACAGAAATTGGACTCAGGCTTGGCAGCATGGAAAATGTTAGTTCCTGCCTTTTGAACAAAAAGAGTGCCTCTGCTTGTTGATGTTAAATAGCAGCCTGTGACCCGTTCACTGAAGCCAGCCACAGGAGATGACCACATGTGTAATGTAAGTGCCTTAGTTGCATGTGGAAGTAACTGTAATACATTGCAACGCTCATTAATCATGTTGTTATACTATTAATAGCGCTCAGTGTTGTTAATCAAATATCCATTAATGGGTGTGAGTCCATCATGCTAACATGATCCTGGTTTTCTCAGTCTGTCTTTCAATTTCCAGGTAACCAAAGTTGGATACAAATGGCAAAAATATCAGCTATTGAGAGGATATTTACAACTGGATAGGCGTGAGACAGAGCCAGGTCTGGTATCTAAACTAGGTTGGTGGTGCCCCTTTAAATCAGAACAGAATTAGTTCTTTGTGGAATAATCCCAAACAGTTTTGCTGAGTGAGTCCCAGCAAAGCTTTAGCACATCCCTTAAGATTATGGGGTATGCTTTCAGTGTGATCCCAGAGGAATTAGACAGGCAACTTCAGCTATGGCTTAATGTGACTTGTGCTGCCAGCCTTGCTGGAAAATGTATCCTTCTATAATGAAAAAAATGCATTTCACACCCCTGTCACCTCTCCTTCCCTATTTCTCTCCTCTTTCCAGATGCCCCCAAAGGCAATCTTTGGAAAGAATATTTATTATGTTATCTTTCTTTTAAGCCTTTATCAAATCCTGTTTTGTACCCTGCATTGTTACCTCTGCTTAAGATACTGCAGTGATGGAAGCTAGAGAAACAGATGACATAAAAGAATGCCATTATTACCATCCCATGTTAGTCTAAGAATTATTGGTATAAATACCTTTCCCATTAAAAAAATTCAATAATTAAGGAACTTACATTTTATCTGTATAGTTCTAATGTCCTTGCCAAATTTTAATTGGGTCACTAAATTCTGCCAACTCTACTTGGAGTTTTGGAAGGAAAAGGGCAGTCATCAGGAGTGTCCTGCTGTAGGATATTGTTAACTGCTCCAGAATTGTTAGCCTTGCTCTTACAGTTTTTTGTCTTTCTCATTTCTGAGGCACTTTGAATAGTTCTGGAGAGGAGGCTGTCGGTGTAAATGACGGTACATACTTTTACAAAGCACTGTCTGATTAATGTTTTCCCCTCTACACTGTGGATCCTACCATAGCAGGATCGGTGAGTCAGTTGTTAAGGAACTTCATCCATTTGAAACCTCATCAGTCCTGAATATTTAGTTTTGCAGCCCTCTGCTTGGCTGAAAGTGCCGGAGGTCCCATGGTTTATTTACTTGGGGTACTCCAAATGAGGGAGCAGCAATAGCTTCCAGAGTTGGACCTCCATCCCTTTCTCATCCAATCTCCTGTAATATACCTTGTAAAATCTTTCTTCTCATCTTCTGTCTCATTTCCAGATTAGTGTACTAATTCAGCATCTTTCTTCCATCCTCTCAGCCCAAGACCTAACCTCTTCCTCAGTGGTCCTATTTCCCATCTTCGCTCATTGCTACTTCTTGTTCTGGCTCTGCTCTTGCCTCTGGAGAAGGAGTTCCTCTCTGAAGAGGCCTCAGGGACAGCTACTGCTGACCCCGTAGGAGCTGTGTGGAGGTATGCATGTAATGCCTCCTGTGAGTCCCTTCTCCCGACACCATGTCTTGTCCTTGGGCTTTGTAATCCTCTACGTGAAGCCCCTGTCACAAGGCCCCATCCTTTCATTTTACTTCCCTGGCAGAGGTTTGTGTAGGACAGACATCTGGGGAGGTATCTGTTAAAGACTGGGGTTTGATTTTGTGGTTTTCCTTATTTTTAATTCTAAAAGAAGAACTTAAGTGTGCCCAAGAACTCTGATTATAATGTGCTATTACTGCAGATCTCTGGCTGCTGTCCTGAGGCTGTTGGATATACATTCAAAAAAGGGTGAAATGGTGGAACAAAATGATTATGGGAAAATCAAAGCTTTTAAAGACATTTGTAGGATGAACAGATGTTCAAACATTCTTTTATTTGGTTTCCAGACAGACGTGGAGACTTTCCTTTCATCCTCGTAATCAGTGCATTATGCTGTAATTTGTAAAAATGGCATTAAAAATATATTAACGGGGTCATATTGTGATCTACTGACTCTGTGTCATTAAGCCGTGAAGTTAAGAACAGCAACCGGGAACAAGGGTTAAATGTTGCAGAATGTACTGTGCTGGCATATAGTGTGAGCCTGTATTATAATGAATCCAAAATGGAATAAAGATGTAAGGAGGTTTTTTAATACTGCTAAGGTTGTCAGTGTTGCAAAACTAGAAATTATTATGGCTGTGCAGATGTTCAGTGAGTAATACATCTTTGAGTTGTGGGGAGAGTAGCAGTGAGAAAAGCTTTCTTTTTCCAAGCCTGTTTTCTGCTTTTCCTTGGAATTTATTTTGGGACTGCAGTCTGGCTTGTAATCTTGCCAGAGGTCTTGAGCCATGGGGGTCAAAACATGCAATCATGGTAGCAAGGATTCAGTAGGTGGCATCCTTTACTTGGAATCAAAATTAAATCTCCCCACCTAAAAATGTGGTATGCACTGGCATTGATAATGAAGATTTTGAATCAAGCTTGCAACGCATCTCTCAAAGAACAGTGTCTATTAAAAACTACGGTGCATTTAATGACTGGGGCAGAGCCTTTAACTCTGATCTGTTGACCAAACCCTGAGGTACCAGTGTCCCTTCTCAGTGTGTTTCTGGCTCAGCTGAAAATAGCTCTTTTCCTCAAATCCTACAAATTGTGTTAATTTATGGCAAGTACCTGCGTATGGGGAAAAAGAGCCACCCACACCGGCAGGGTTCCTGGTGTGTACGAGCCGGTTCTTCCTAGGCAATAGGCACTTCACCTGCTTGTTGGAGTTGTGCAGTTGAACAGCCACAGGGTGGCAGAGCAAAAGTGAGAGCAGGATGAGGAGTGGTCATGATGCAGTCATGTCCTAGAGCAGCCAAGTTCCACCCCAGGACCTTCTGCGTCTCACTGCTGGGAGGGCAGCTCTGTATTTACATCTGTAAAGTGCTCTGGGATCTTGTGAAATGAAGGATGAAAGGCAGCAGAGGAGTGCTAGTTATTAGCTGTTTTTAAAACTCTTTGTGTTTTCCTTTTATTTTAATACCCATAGTGAGCTGAAAAGCTCTTTATTTACAAACACATGAGTTCCAAATGAACTTATTGAGTATGTAAATAGAATAATTTTAAGATAAAGCCTAGCACAGGGAGCCTGGGAGAGGGAGAGCAGCTGTATGATTACAGTCTGTGTTGAGGCCAGTCTTGCTAGATGATGGGCATCTAGAAGGAATTCAAGGGCTTGGGGAGGTTTTGTTTAAGCAAGATATTGAAGAAAGGGGAGTAGTCTTCTGGGATTCCCCACAAATTCTCCTACTGTTCTGTGCAAAAATAGGTTAAAAGCATAATTTGATAGGGTTGTAGCTCTACCGTATACACTACATCAGAAGAGAAAGAGTATGGTGGGTCTGCTTATTTCCTGGTGCCCATGCCAGAATGTGGAGTCTTTCCCACATCTGCTGCTGTGCATGCAGCACTGGTTTTAATTCCAGTTGTTAGTGGACTTTAGAGTTTAGGGTAGAATGGGTTTTCCATTTCTCAGTAAGTATTAAAGTTCTTTATTTGCACATCTGGTATGAGTGCTTTTGCAGGATGGTATAATCAGTCTGCAAGACTGAAATCTTCTTTTTCATCTTCTTCAAGGTGACTGTTGCTTGTCAAAGATGAATGCTCTAAGGGACCTCTCAGAGCACCACAAGTTTCTCATATATGTGTGTTATTCCTTTCCTAAAAAGTGACAGGAGAGGGAATCCCATCTCGTTCTTTTCTTTTTGGAGCTCATGCTCAGGGTCAGCTGTGAAAGGAACTCATCAAACAATCAGAAAAATCCTACAAG